GCTGACCACGCCAGTGAAACAGAAATAACTTCACCTTTCCCTGAAATCACAGGGAAGGGTAAATTGCCTCGGTGGGTGAAGCGAGGAAGGGCTGAAATCCTCGTCCCAGCCCTGCATTCTCCACGCTAGAGGGAATCAGTGCTCCACGTTTCTCCCTCCAGCCCCTGAGAGCTCCGAGCTGGCCCAAAACTGCCTCCCTCCCCTCCCCTCAGCTGTGCCTGCAGAGGAATTCACAAGGAATACCCTGTGGAGGCTGCAGGACCCAGACAAGCCTCCAGCCTGTCCCCACCATGGGACCACTTGGAGAGAGGAGCAGGAACCAGCCCTTGTAACCCCAGGACCTGCTGGTCTTTTAGTCACCAGAGCTCAGCTCAAAGATCCCACACTTGCTTGGGATGAGTCAAACCTGTCTCCCTGTGGAGAGGCTGAAAGCATGGAATGTTTGAGATGCAGGATCACGTTGGCTGAGTGTCAAAAATTCCTGGTCATGCAGAGGGCAGGATGTTCTCCCCCAATTCGTGGGTCTGCAAGAGGTAGAGGTTTGAGACTTACCCATTCTTAAGAACCCAAACTGGATGGGACAAACCCACAGACAGTATCATGCACAGAGAAACTTCTAGGCCTAGGATGCTTTTAAAAAAAAATCAGTTTATTTTACCTTACAAACGATAAATAATTTGTTTAAAAAAAAAATCATTTCAAGTGTGTTTTACTTCATGTTCCAATATTAAAATACCTTTCCCTTCTCCCCCCCTTTAAGTGATCGATACAAAAATAATTGTGACCAAATTCTTTTTTTTTTTGTCAAAAATTCCTGTATTTTAGGCAAAAAGGCACGTTGTGAAGGCTTTTCACCAGGAGGCACAGGGGGGTCCCAAAGACCCCAAGAGCTTCTTTCCCCTCCCTCCTTGTTCTAACTTGAGGCAGCACTGCTACAGTGCTTTTTGTCTGATCCCTCCAGGTACACACCAGGGCCAAGGTCAGCTTCAGTGTCATCCCTCTTTAACATGTGGGGGGAAATCAAGGCACAGCAAAGCAGTACAATTATTTAAGAGCTTCTTGTGAATAGCTGGCAGAGTAGGACATAAAACTGGACGCAGATGTAGAATGTTGTCTCCTTCAGAACCCACCTGGGAACATCCTCTCCCCTTGCAACCACAGTGTTAGGATGGTAGTCACAGGTCTCTGGATGCTTCTTGCTTAGTGGAGGAGTCACAGGGCCAGCACAGAAATTTGGGCCTTCACTAGTCTAAACAGGGATTAATTAGAGCCCTAATTATCAGCCCTTGCTGGGGTGTATCCCCCCAATAAATCTCTGGCCACAGGAGGGACAGAACAGCCAGCAGGGCACTAGAGAAAGCTACAGGCAGGCTCTTGCTTTGGGTGGGCTTCGTACCTTCCTTGCTCAGGGGATGTGGTCCCAAAAATCAGCTGTCTTCCCGCTGGGCAACGCTGCTGCGTCACCAGGAGGTGGGGAAGTCAGCGAAGGGGGTTCTTCAGTGGCAGAGACGTTTGACAACCCAGCTCAGCAAGAGCATTTCCCTCCCTGCCCTGACCGCACAGCTCGAGGCTGGTGACTGCTCAGAGCTGCCCCTTTTGCTCCAGAGCAGGGCAACAGTGCCTCACCCCCCAAAAACCCGCCTCCCCCGCTTCCAGGGAGCTGGATTTGTGGCAGCTGGCAGGAGAGCATCACACAGGGCGAGCTGAGCCTGCCTGTCACGGGATGAGGGGAGGGAGGCACAGGAGGCCAGAAGGAAAGGCACGCAGAGCTCTCCCGTGGCACGAGGCACCACCGTGAACAGCACTCCTTCCTCGGAGCAGCCACCTCCAGGAGCCCTTGGCATCGCGAAGAGCGGCAGGAGACGAGCTGCCCCTCGGAAAAGCCTCGGGAAAGCTAAGTCTCCTCGTCCCAGAGGCAGAGCTGCTTCTGCGGCACGTAGTAGTCGAAGGTGTAGCCCTTCTGGCAGCTGCGGATGCCGCACTTGTAGGAGGAGACCTTGCCCCCGGCGTCCCGGCTCTTGCAGTACTTGAGCATGCAGGGGTACCACTCGATGCTCAGCGAGTAGCTGCAGATGCAGGGCTTCCAGCGGTCAGGGCACAGCCGGCAGCGCTGCAGCTCCGGCAGGTCCGAGCCCTGCGGCAGCACCTCGAACATGGAGCCGTCCACCCCTGCGGGACAGAGCAGGGACACCGCTCAGGGAAGGGACAGCCACGGAGCACTGCTCCCTGCGCAGTCCCCAGGGCGAGGAGGAGGGGGTTGGATGGTGTTTTCTGGGGGCTGTTTGGGTGTGAGTTGGAATGGGAAGCGTGGGGAGAACAAAGTGCCTCGGGGAAGGTAAAGTCACAGATATGCAGATGGAGATGGTGACTTCCTCAGGAGGGGCAGGACCTGAGCTCTGCTCTGTGGGGACCAGGGACAGGACCCAGGGAATGGCCTGGAGCTGTGTCAGGGCAGGGTCAGTTTGGATCTCAGGAAAAGGCTCTTCCCCCAGAGGGTGGCTGGGTGCTGAACAGGCTCTTGGTGTCACAGCACTAAGGCTGGCAGAGCTCAAGGAGAGTATGGATGGTACTCTCTGGCACAGGATGTGACTCTTGGGATGGGCCTGTGCAGGGATAAGTGTTGGACTCAATGATCCTTTTGAGATCACCTTCCAACTCAGCATATCCTGTGATTCTGTGATATTTCTTCTGGGTGATGGACCAGGTGAAAGGTTACTTTGAAAACACCTAACCAGGCTCAGCAGGAGAGCACCAGCACAAGAAGTTCAGATCTGCTGAAGAACAGGCCAGTACAACGCAACACATGTGCCTTAAAGACAGCAGAGAGGAAGCCAAAACAATCTGTGCTGATCCCCAGGAAAGCTGGCTGGAGAGATGCCAGCCCCGTGCCAGCGCGCTGACAGCAGTGGTTCCAACGAAACCGAGGGGAGCTTACCTTTCTCCAGCCAAAACTTGACATCTTCTTCGCGGGTGTAAATGGCTTCTTTGGCCTCGGCGCAGACGTTGTGGATGTGGGGGCTCAGCTGGGCCCCCTTGCTGAAGTTCACAGCCACGTCCATGCTCAGGTGCTCCAGCCCCCGCACCTCCTCGGCCTGACGCACCGTCCGGGGGTTTTTCTGCACGGGATGAAAGAATCAGAGCTTCAGTCCAGGGGGTAACGTGTTATTCCTCATAGCATGTTGGGATTTCACGCCAGCACACGATCCGTCTGCTTAAGAATCGGTCGTCAGGCAGCCAACTCCTTCCTCCTCGTGGCTGAGACCTGTGAGAGATTCACAGCTCCCCCTGCCTCAACTCCAGGTGTCAGGGATTTCCAGCACAACATTTGCTGACACCGAGGGAGATGCACTGGGAAAAGGCAGGAACGGGCCGTGCTGCCAGCACTGAAACAGCCAGTGAGCCAAGAACAGCTTTAATAAAGCTGTGT